GCTGACGTTTCCGCATTGATTAATGAATAATCGCGCTCGCGTTGGTCCTAATATTTCTCGATCGAGTCAGATCTCGGAAGAATGGAGCGTTCGAAATAGTTTGCGGTTAGCTGGCTCGCCGTCGTTGTCGTCATCGTCGTCGCATTCGTTCGGACGCGCGAGAATAAACAATTTAATTTCCCTTCCAAGTGAAGTAGCAACAATGGTATCAATACACAATGTTAGTGATCATTTTCCGAATAACCGGACAACCGATAGCTTAACGTTTCGTGCAGAGGTTCAATTGTACATAATTGCATCTATATTTGATTATTACCGTGTACGGTATTTCACGCTGTCTGTCACGTGATACATGATTAATTCCGCTATATGTGAAATACGCGCGATGCACACTGTTCATGATACGCGAGGCGCGACACAGGGGGAAGGTCTGTCAAGTATTGTATAGTCCGAATGCACGATAGTTTGCGGCGTGTATGATCCAATCATCGATATTATTAAATTCATGCGATCGCACGCGCGCAGCGTATTATCGCGTAACAAACAAACTCTCGCGCGGTCGCCTGACTCCGCGCGATCTCGTCTTTTATCTCGTCTTTCTCTCTCTTTCCCTATCTGAGCTAATGCAGCTCGTGTGCAGCTGCCGATGTCAAACTGACGAGGCCGAAGTAGAAAGCATTGTTAAAGGCGCGGCGACAGCGAGCGCGAATGTGGATCGACGATAAATCAAGGCGATTCATTTCGTCGGAGTGGTCGCGGCCGCGGCCGCGGCCGACGAATTTGCGAGCAGCGCGAACTGGAGAAACGTGTACACCATAAAAAGGGATACATCGCGAGAATCGGGTTAAACGAGCTCAATTTCAGGGTTGCGGTTACGGCGATTCAACTGTCCGACTTCTCTCGTGTTCAACTTGCTTCGCGTAAAACAAACTCCTCCAAATTCGGCTCAATGCTCGGCGATCGTGAAGCTTACCCGATACATTATTTAATCCCTGTCGTATTTATCGTCCGATTTACTCAACATTCCATCAGAAGCGGAATTGCTCGTGTTTCATAGTTAGATGAATCTTTTGGTAACTGAGAACGAACGTCTGCATTCTACATGCAATTACGTTGCAGACTCGTTAACTTTATGCCGTTGACTAAACTCTCTCTCTCTCTCTCTCTCTCTCTTTGTATGTTCAAATTTCGACGTAGCAGGTTCCTATGTTTCCAGCTTCTAACTCGATTTCTATTCTATCCGACTCAATTGCACTGTGCGCGCTGCAAAATTTGCGTAGCCCCGAAAATCGTTTCTTTTCATCTCGACTTTTTCACCGTGTCGCGCTATTTTTCTTTATTCCATTGTTTCTCCCTTCCTTTCTTTTTTGCGGGAAACTCCCGATTTCCGCGTGTAAATAAGACAGATCGGGAGCACTCGACGGGAGGGATCGACCGTGGGTGTAGCCGGACGAGACATCCGCGGCACAATCGGAGCACTACTCCTCCCCTTCGTCCCCCCCCCGTCTTTCGCGAATATGACGTTCGCGTGCGAGCGCGGAAAATCGATAATTAGCTGCGGACGATCGACAATCGGTACGCGCGCACTTAAATGCCGCGCGACAAGGCGCACGGTAGTGTATTGTGCAGTACAAAGGGATGAATAGGGTGAGGAGAGGTAGGTGAGGGCGATCGGGGAAACGATTTGAGGCACGGGGATCGATCGACCGCGATACATATACGCGACTCCAGGGTTATGTCGCCCTTGTTCACCGGGCTTCGATCCCGCTGATCCGCAGGTCGAAAAGCTCATAAGCTTACCGACTATCCAGGGTCGAACTCTCGCGGCCGCCAACACGCGGCGGTCAGCGTGTGTGTGGGTTACGAGAGCCGTCAGGGCGAGCGGATAAGCGCATCCACGTGCGCTCGCGCTCGCGGCATACCGAATGGTTTCCCGTTTCCGCCGAATCGTCTAATCGTACGTTGTCTATCTCACGGGGGCTAAACGAGCGAGCGACGAGGTCGGCGGAACGTTGACACACGACGTCGACGCGTCTGTTGCTCGCAGTAGGACCGTCGCAAAAAGCTGAATATTGCACTCCCCCTCTGAGAGGGAAAACGCGCGAAGAGTGTAATTAGCGCCGCGATGATAATTAACAAGAGAGAGAGAGAGAGAGAGAGAGAGAGAGAGAGAGAGAGAGAGGGAGAGAGAGAGTCGAGTGACGCTCGGGACGAATGACAGGCGGATGTAAATTATTAAGTCCACCTTGGGCGAACTGTGTAATTTTCCGCCGCGGAATTCTAATTGCGACTTTCGGGACGTCCTGCACGGCGAGGAGAAGCCGAGGTTTATAAACGTGCGCGAGTATGCTCGAGCATGTGCTGCTAAAAATGTGCGCGCGTATATAGTCGGAGATAAAATACCGGCTCGCCGTGGTATTGTCTTAATGGCGGATGAAATCTCGAATTCCGTCCCGTGAATTTCAGCCCGGCCGAAGCTGACGCTGCGCTCGTCACGAATTGTCACGCGCAACGAGCGCAAGCGACGATAGCCGGAATCCGGAATTCGCGCCGAAAATCAACGACGAATTGTTAATCATCGCGAGAATCCCCAGCGGGGGAGGAGCAGCGGCGGGAGAGGAGGACTTCTCACGCGATGTTATAAAATTCGGCCGGATTAATTTAACCGGAACAGTCGAATTACGCGGACAATCCGCGAGGCTCGTGGATATTGCGGGCGTGTTCGAGGCGCGCGGTCGGAAGTGTCGAAAATATTAGACACTTGGGAGCGGAACAACGGTGGAGCGCGACAAGGTCCTAGCCGCGGTCAATCACTCACGAAGGCTTCAGCCTGGTTTTAGACATTGATGAATCCTCGTTCGCTAAAAGGCGCACGTATACGCCCGGCTGACGCATGTGCGCCGCGCGGAAATGACTGCGTGTCGCGTGCATGTAGACGTACACATATGCGCGCGCGCGCATACACACACACACACACAGGCCGGGAAGCACAAGAGGCTATATGTATAGGACGGTATGATTAATCATCCATTCTTTTGACAAAGAGCGGAAAGCTCAGCGGATTTTTACACAGCGGCGTTGTCTGGCCCCCGCCCGCCGTGAAAAACTGCTGGAAATCGACTGATAGAACGGTCGGCAGCGATGGTCTCAATTTTGTTTATGATTCGCGAATTGCTCGGCCGCTACGCGCATGCGAGAGAAATCGTATCGTCCGCGGTGAATGAGAGGCGAGGATATCGCGTCGAGCGTGTCGGCGAGCGGTGAAACGCGCCGATAACAGCCCGGGATAACAGCCGCGTCATTCCGTCGAGTGCTTTTTAAGGAAATTAAACGATCGATCGAGAGAGAGAGAGAGAGAGAGAGAGAGAGAGAGGGCGGGAGCGAGACAGACAGGACAGACAGAGCCAACTTTGATCGAGTGAAATTAGATGAAAGGAGGATCGCGTTCATTCGGTAGCGGATTCGCGCTAATATGTAATTCCGGACGTCGGGGTGAAGGACGAGGCGTCTAACAGGCGGAAATCGACAATCGGGGACAAAGTCGGCGATCGAGTTCAAGTTCCTCTATCAGTCTTGCTCGCCTGACCTAGACGGTGCAGCCGATTCAATGGCGTCTCGTACACAACTGTCCTGCACACGCGCACGGGAAGGATCCTCTCGCGGCGCACGGGCGGTCCCCGTCGCGAGGATCCTGAAACTTGAGTTGCGCGCGTTTGACTTTTAAAACTCGGACGTCCCTGCGCTCGCTCACTCGTCCCTTTCTGTGCCTTCCTCCCCTGCCCCCCTCGAGCGCCCCTTTGTCCGTTTGTCCGCTCGTTCATTCGTTCATTCGTTTGTTCATTCGCTCGAAATCGAGCAAGTTTCAAGCGTCGCGAGAACGAATCCGACCAGCTGCGCTCCCGACCTTTCTGTCCAGTTGCTTAAAAGCTCGAGTTCGAGTTTCCGCCTTCGATATCTCGCGCGTCCGTTCGCGTTTACCTGGCCGGCTCGAGTGGCGCGATCGTACAATTGATGGCTCGTAATCGCTCGTCCGTGTCACTGAAGATTCCTCGCCGCTCGGATACGCCACTTTCCCGTTATCCCTCCCGACCTTTCTCGCGAGTAATGGATTTGGATTTATGTATGAACGCGACCGGAGAGGGTGTGTGTACGCATTTGAAACTTAAATTTATTCGGACATACTTTCTTTCCGTGGAATCACGGCTAGTGAATGGATGGCTAGGGTATCGATGCATCTTACGCTTTGACCCAGTTCGTTATGGCTTTACCGCAGCTAAAAAAATGTCGGAGCCAAGTCTGGCGTTTGAGACTTGCTCCTCTCTCTCTCTCTCTCTCTCTCTCTCGTCACTCACCGGCCAGGACGACGCTTTTTCGCGCGATTGACTTCCTTGGGGCGGGCGAGCATATTTTCCGGCGTCACGTAGCGTCGGTTCGTGGAAGTACTGTTTATTTATAATAGCGCGAACTAGATTGACACGGGAATTGCTTCACGGGCCGTCGGACGTATTTTTATTAAGCGATCCTTTTCGCACTCCGAGCGCTCCGCTCCGCATCGCTCGGCAAATACGGCCGGATCTGCCTCTTGTCCTATTTGCGAAAACGCGACCTTTTTTTCTCCCTAAGCGGAACTGCGTCGTTCTCGTATATCCCCGCAGCTGCACGTGTACATTACACCGTGCTATGTCAATGTGTATTTCACCGATGCTGTTTCGCCGGCAAAACCGGTCACGGGGCTGCAAAATTTTTTACTGTTCCGTTTCCCGACGAGTACGAACGCAATGGGAATTCGCGCGACATCCGACGATCCCGCGCTCAAGCCGCGCGGGATGATTCGCCGAGCGATTTCTCTCCGACGAGAGACGAACGGGCACGCGCGCGAAGAATTCGAGCGTCGTCTAATTGATCCCTCGGATTCGCCCGATGGAGCGTAATATGCGCTTCGTAGCCGCGAGCGAGCTACTGGCAGAAAATCATGCATACGAAATACATGACCTATTTACCTTCGACAGATGATCCTCCGGGTGCCGTGGATCGTCGAGCCACACACTCCCCCTCGTTCTATTCACTTTGTTCAGTCCGGATTTTTGCACGGGGCAACCGGAGCCGTCACACCAGTGTGTCTCCCCTCGCGACGGCGCTGCGTCTCACGTCTTTCTACGCGCGAAAGCACGAAGGCAGATCCCTCGGACGGGATGACGCGCGCGTCGATCACTCAATTACGACGATTTTCTTGCGTCTCCTCTCTCTCCCTTCTCTCCGAGAGAGACGTCTCATCTAGCGAGACTTCCTGTCGCTTCCCTCCTCCGCTACATCGTTGCGAAGACTGGTCCGTGATGGGCGACTCGAATGGGCCTCGCGATGAAACGCGGGGATGGGTACCTGAGGTCTTCTTCTCGCGCGGACGCGGCTCCTCACCTCCTCACCTCCTCACCTCCGGCCACGGGCTCCACGGGATATCTCGAGTTATCTCGCTTGCCGATCGGCGTTTCTTCGGAGGCCGGAAAGGTCTTACTCGGGCGAGCGAACACGCTGGGACATCGCACCCACGCAACGATGTTAATTCGCCGCCACCATGTTGTTCGTTATTACGCACAGAGCCGAGAAATTGGCATAATCCCCTCGACACATGTCGCGCACGTTCCCGCTCGCGCGCGGCTCACGCTTTCGTTAAAACACACCCTCCTGCGCGCGCGAGTCCTCCGGAGGACCTCTCTCGCTCCAGAGTCTCCCCTCGTGTTTTCCAAATATTTTGTCCGAAGCTCGATGGGACCATCCGGTGCGTAGCTTTCTCAATTGGCAGACGGGGAGAGAGAGAGAGAGAGAGAGAGAGAGAGAGAGAGAGAGAGAGAGAGAGAGAGAGAGACAGGGGGAGGGAATAGAGAGACAGAGTCAGGAGTATAATCACGAGACACAAGCAAGAAGAGAGAGAGAAGACGAGAAAAAGGGAAAGAAAAAGACAAAGAGAAAGCGGAGAGCGAGCGAAGGAGACTTAACAACGAAAGAGACGAAGAGATTTAGAACGATGGCACATCGTCGTCGTGTTTCGACAAAAACGGTCGTTGATTTTTTGATAGAGAGACACGTGCACGTAACAACGCGCGCGCGCGCGCTACCTGTCTTCTTCTCGCAAAGCCGGAAGCTTTTCCCCAGCTTTTCGACGCGCCGCGTTATCCGCACCATCCGCGAAAGAGGGAGGAAAATGTCGAAACGGAGCGGAAAGAAGAAAGAGGAGAAGAGAGGAGAGAAGAGGAAACGAAAGGAGAGGAGAAGAGAAGAGAAGAGAAAAGAGGAGAGGAGAGGAGAGGAGAGGAGAGGAGAGGAGAAAAAAGAGAAAGAGAGAGAGAGAGAGAGAAAAAGGGAGAGAGAGAGAGAGAGAGAGAGAGAGCGATCGCTCGCTCTTGTTCAGCGGCGAAGATACCACGATCTCACTCGTGTGGTGCAACGCTCTTCGCAAGGGGCGCGGCGTAACTGAGCTCGGCAAACCAACCCTCGTCCTCTGTCTCTGTCGGTGCCTCCCTCTCTCCGCCAGCCTCGCTCTATCGTTTCTCTCCCTCACCCCCGTGCAGCTACGTTTTCCAACTCTCACGCAGTCTCCGTGCTTTCCTCCGCTCCTCTTCCACCACACGATCCTTCCTCTCTCACGCGCGGCGTTTCAGCCACCCTCTCACCCTCAATCCTCTCTCGTCCTCTCGCTCGTCCGTCCGTCCGCGGCCGGTCGCGGCTCTTTTCTTCTTCCTCCTGCTCGATCTCGCGTCGCGACACGCGACGCCTTCTCCTGAAGGATCATCGCGATGCAGACCCTTGTAATTCCGATCCTTCTTTTCAACCCTAACTCTCATCGTTGAATCATACGGAGGTGGGACAGGACAATGACGCTAGCATATTTTTCTCGTGACCCGTGTGTCGCCTGCCTCCCCCTCCCCACTCTCTCTCTCTCTCTCTCTCTCTCTCTCTCTCTCTCTCTCTCTCTCTCTCTCTCTCTCTCGCTCGCTCGACGCATCGATCTATTCTGCGCTCCTCTCCTCTCTTTCTTTTTTCTCTCTCGCCACCGCAGACTCCGCTTATTCCTTTATCCCGTGGAATTTCCCTTTCCCACTAAACTTTAGCGACGATAAAAATCGCCGTGCGAGCGCAGCCGGTCACTCTAGCGACGGTGATAACTCTCGGAATCCCAGCGGTGAATCAACCTTGCTTCCTCCAGCGAAACGCGTAATAAGAGAAGGTCAAGGGACGAAAGGGCCCAGCTCTGGGGATGCAACGTCGGGGATTAATCTAACAACCGGTTGACCATCGTCCCGTGTCTACGAGGGCGCGCGCGGGTATCCAGGTCAATTGGACCGCGCTTTCGTTCGTGCAAGTTCTCAGTGAGAATGTCGAGAGAAGCGATACACACGCATAAAGCGTCTATTTAAAGACGCGTCCGAGCACTTTGCCGCAATTGTGTTTGCGTTCTCGTGATTGGAGCATCGCGTATCGCGTTTCAGCTACGCAGGTGCATCTTGTCTCGTGTAAACAGGAAGCGAATAATTAACAATCTCTCTCTTTCTTGCACAACACCGCGGAGAAATAATTGGACGTCAGTTTTCTATTTTATGAAACGACGGTCTTTAGTCTCCTCAGAGGTTGCTCGGCCTTTAGAAATGCTCGTTGCACGAGCGTGTCGACTCAGTATCTTGAATATCTTTCGCGGCACTTCGTGCGGACTGTTAACGTGCAGCCACACGCGAATCGAGGCGATTTGCCAGATTCAGTTATCAGCCGTTGACGTGCATCGACACGATCGCGAGGCAAGATACACGCGCGTGTGTCTCGCTTGACTTTCGACGTATCAGTGGCGAGCCAATTAAAAGTTTTGAAATACCACAGTGGGGTCGAGGTACAAAAGTAATTTGGCACATTTATTTGACGAGAATTCGATTGATGCCCATCCAGGCGCGAGGATCATCGGCTCTCGCGTCAAGCGTCAACGCTAATTTCAACTTGCAATTGCATTCCTGAAATGATGATCGCGTGTATGAAACGGCGATTGCCATACGTGGTGCAAATATAACGACACTGTGAACACATAGCGACTGCGTCAGGAAGAAAGAGAGGGAGAAAAAAGGAGGAGCAGAGAAAGCGAAAAAGGAAGAGAACGTGCGCGTCAGTACAATGGTATATCGACTATTTATGCGTAGATAATCATATCTATTTGTACCGACAGATGGATATCATAAATATTCTATTTTGCGCGCCTAGATACGAATTTGGGAATTAGCTGCGTATGAGCGCGAGATTGATCTTTGTCTACGAGTCAAAACGGATACAGATGAAACGTAATTTCATACACGGCAAACAAACTTCCACTGCGACCATTAGTGTTTTAATGATGGAACTCATGTATTAATTACGAACATAACATAATATAGCAAATGGGGCTAAATTAGATTTGATATTAATTCTGGCGCGTGAAATGACCCCTCCCTCTCTCTCTCTCTCTCTCTCATATTACTTACAATCACAATTATCCATAAGGATAACAATGTTATCCATATAATATCGGCCGGCGGCTTCTTCCTCTAATAAAACACGGGATATATGAAAAATTTAATGAGATTATTTTATATATCGCGAATATTATCGCGCGAGCACACGGTGGAATCGCGTTGTTCGTCCGAAAATTATATCCAATTTTCAGATACATTTACGGAGTGTTTTAAAATAGCGTAGATTTGCGAATTAACGCACAGCAGAGACACGATTATGCGCGAAAGTTGAAAGTAACGTAATAATAATACGCGCCGAGTGCGTCGTAATTATCCGTATTCCGGTATGCGCGCGCGCGTTAGCCCATTCGATCGACCAATACTCGAAATATATCGACGTGCATCTACGTGCGACCGACTGTTTTCTCCTCCTCTCTCTCTCTCTCTCTCTCTCTCTCTCTCTCTCTCTCTCTCTCTCTCTCTCTCTCTCTTTCTCTCTTTCTCTGTCTCCCCTCTCTCTCTCTCTCTCTCTCTCTCTCTCTCTCTCTCTCTCCCCTCCATCTCTCTCTCTCCCCTCCATCTCTCTCTCTCTCTCTCTCTCTCTCTGTCTCTCCTCCGCACGCGAGCACGCGTCTTTGCCCCCGCACGATTTGATGTACCGTGTATGAGCCGCTGCGTATGGCAGAAAAGATACATATCTTGGTTCACGAGAACCTCTGCCGGTTCCGATAGTAAAATTTCAAATTTCACTACTCCCCGCAATAGGGCACATGTACATAAATATTTTATGTCTCTCACGGAGATATTGGCAACGCGTGAGTGATATCGGGAAAATATTTGCGCGCGTGAGCGAGCGAGCGAGCGAACGAGCGATTGCCTTAATAATTTCTCACATTACTTCTCGTCGTGCGAACTCTCATAAAGAGGGACGCGGATTAATCCCGTTAGAGGGACGTAAGACGCAGGGGCGGTCTTATTAATAATTATCCGGAGGGCTGGTGTTCGAATCGTTCATCCCGCCTGCGGTGCTGGCACATGTAATTTCTGCATCGCGCCGTGAATTATTACGCGCATCTATTTCCCGCGAAATTTATATAAACGCGAATCGAACGCACGATGAGAAATATATCGCAATGTGTCAGATTCTGCGCGAACGCACGAGCGACGCAAACGCTAGCGGTATGATACGGCGTTATATTTAGCAGCTTCGGAATTGGATCGCGCGAGGCGTGGCTCGAGGGGAAGGAGGAACAGCTGAAGGCGATAGGAAGACAGTCGGTCCCATCGGGAATACACGTTGCTTTTTCCTCTCTTCCGATTTTCCATCGACACGTGCATCAGGCTACGTGTCAATAAGACTTCGGCCCGAGAGCCGAAGTCCGTGATCTTCCACCTTGAAGGACATTCAACGTGTTCGGGATGGCAACAACTAACCGATTTTGCTTCGCGAAATATTGTAACAACCTGTTCTCTAGATGGTGCCGCAACGTTTGCGCGTTTGTCTGACAGACATTGCGCGCGCGCTCGTAACACGCCGGTGTAAGTTTCCTTCAGATTTCACCGCTGGTTTGGTAGTGATGAAGAGTGTAAGCTTTAATTTCTCGATACACACCTTCTCTAGGGATGCAACGATAAATCGATAATATCGAAATATCGACATATCGAGAGACAAGTATCCGAATACTTATCGATATTTTTTCCGTCTCCGATTAAGTCGATATATCGATATGAATTTTACTGATTTTCGTATTTTTCAGCTACAACTCTGGGAGCCTATTACGGTTCTACGGACCGAGATGAAAATGACAAAAGTGAGTGAATTTACTAGAATATATATTATGTAATTGCTCGATGTCCAGTAAATTCGCTCACTTTTATCATTTCCACCTCAATCGTGGAACCGCCGTGATAGATCTTCTGCTCCATGTATGTGATGATCTCCGGCAAATGACTGCGGTTCATTATATATCTTCTAATAAGAATACGACAATAAATTATATAAAGATAAAAATTTTTAAAAGATCTTTTCAAATTTTTCATGCATATCCTATATATATATATATTTTTTTTTTTTTTTAATATAAATATCGATATAAATATCGATATTTTTCAAAATTGTCGATATTATCGTTATCGACGGTTCTGAATGACGATAATATATCGTTATCGATATTTTGAGAAATCGTTGCATCCCTAACCCTCTCCTAGTGCGCCGCGGAGGAACGATTAAAGGGGGTCGCATTAAACGAGCGATACTTGTCAGTCAATATCTTACGGCTTGATCGGAATATAAAACTGCGTAGCCCAAATGCTGCAAATACGTTTAGAAAACATTCGAATTAGACACGTTGGAAAAATACTCAATGCTGGATATAATTATCGGGCGAGTTGTAGACACTGTCCCAATTAGCGGACAAATCTAATTATTCTTTGATAATAGAAATAATAAACCAAGTAATTTAATGCGAAAACTCTGATGTAATGATTAAAAACATAAAGTAAGAACTTTACAATTAGATGTTAACGCGTGACATAAATATGAGCCGACATTTTTACCCGGGAATTAAAGTTTATTAACTGCATAAATAGATGAAAATGCGAATTTTGATTACTGGTAGTCGGCCATATTTGCATATTAATAACATGGAAGTTATGTATAATTAAGTAGCAGCATAATTAAACGCTACAAATATGCCACTCTCGACGGCGTTATATACGGCGTTTGTTTTATTTACGAATGTTAACAGGGTATAAATGTCAGCGTTATTGTCTTTGATGAATAAGTCC